TTCTTGTCCTATCACTGAGAAGGGGCTTTTAAAACAAGGCTTGGGGCTAAGTAAGATGAGGAAACAGCCCAATCCTTGTCAGACCTCCTGACCATTGTTGGAGGGAGGACGTGTCTTCTCTGTATGCAATGCTGCAGAGTCTGCAGATGGACTCAACATAAAATATTACAGTGACGCCTGATAGTGCTAGGACAGTTAGGGGTAGTATCTGCTTTTCAGGTGAAGAGAAGCGAGGCCCTGAGGATCAGTGCTGTGCCCAAGGATCCACCTCAGGGAAGGACACTGGGGCAGCCTTATCACCCAGGCCACTAAGTGCCAGATGTCCTGCCTGGCTGGTTCCTCCCCCGGGACCCCTAACACCAGGTTCCCCTCCACGACCGCCTAACAGTGCTGTGTCTGCTGCTACTCCTTCCTGTCCTCCTCTGTTGGAATTGAAATGATACCACCAGTCCAACTCACAAAGCCCCGATCTCCCCAAAACCAATGTGATATCTTTCTCTTTGGAAGATCTGCAGCCCTTTATAACTCCCATTCTTACATCCGCTGCTTGTTGATCCTGGAGTGCTCACCTCTTCTCCTCATGACTCCCTCAAAGCTCTCTAAGGATGGGGACAGTCTCCTCCATCCCTGTGTCCCTGATATGTGAGGTACAGAGCTATGTATGTTGTAGGTGCCCAATTGTATTTGTTGAAATAAAATGTGGTTGGTTTGGCAAACCTTTGCAGAGTCACTCTCGTGGAGAAAGGTGCCCCTGCCCATGTAGAAGGGTGGTGGGCATGCTCCCCACCCCGGCATTCCCAGCATTCCCAGGCTGAGGGCCGTGATGTTTGCACAACGGTGTAGCCAGCAACACTCTTCAGGAAACACCGTTGGGGCCGAAATAAAGTGGGAAGTGCAGTGAGATGGGGTGTTGTCCTCTAAAATAATATTTGTTTAATAGTTTAGTAAATATTGGAGGAAATATGTAATTTACAACCTTTTAGAAGTGTTTGGCAGTGATTACAGTACTGTAAAATGCACATCACCTTTGACCCAGCAGTTCTGTTGCTGTATGGTTGCCTAAATGTGTGAAGATAGATGTTCAGGAATGTTCACTGCAGGCGTTCATAAGAGCAAAACATCGGGGCACCTGGGTGGCTCAGTCAGTTGAGCGTCATGATCTTAGTGTTGTGAGATGGAGCCCTACGTCAGGCTCCAGTGGGGAGTCTGCTTGGGATTCTCCCTCTCCCTCTGCCCCTCTCCCTCCCTGGCCCCCCATTCGTGCTTGCATGCTCTCACGCACTCTCTCTCTCTAAAAAAAAATAAAATCTTTTTAAAAAAAAATAGCAAAACTTCAGAACCAGCCTAAGTCTCTTAATGGAACTGGTTATATAAATCATGGTAAACCATCCAGTAGAGTGCTATATGCAGCCCTTCAAAATAATAAAGTAGATCTGTATATGCTGATACGGAAAATGGCTAGAATACAGTGTTGGTTTAAAAGGAAGCTGTTGATTAATTTGCATGTGCGGCACAGTTTGTGTGGAGGGAGAAAGAAGACCCGCTTTCTTTACATGCGTTTGCCATTTCTGGATGTCTCTATGCTCTCACAGAACGCCAGAAGAGAGCATCTGCCTCTGGGTATCTGCAGTCGGGGGATCTGGTCCTTATTCTTTGCACTTTACACCCCCATATTTTAGTTGTTTGTTGTCTTCTCTGAGGGCACGTACTATTATAAATGAAAGTCTTTCTGTGCTCCCCCATATGTCTGTCACTGACCACAGCATTGGGCAGATACAGATTTAGTGTTAGAGTCTTATACTTTAGAGTATATGCCACTAAATGTCACAAATTAACCAAACCCAAATGGAGCCATTTTGAACAGTTATTTTGTAGTATTTTTTTGTTTAGATTTTAAATTGAAATATAATTCTCGTACTATAAAATCCACCGCTTTAAAATGTCTGGTTCAGCAGTGGGTTGTAGTGTACTCACAGAGCTATGCACCCATCCCCATTATCCAGTCCCCGAACGCCTCTGTCACCTCAGCAGGAAACCCCGCACGCATTAGTACACATGCTCCCCATCCCCCAGCCCTGGCAACCATGAATCTGCTTTCTGTCTCTATAGATCTGCCTGTTCTGGACATTTCATGTTTAGACCATTTTCTTATGCTTCTTTTTCTTCCCTTGTGGACTTAAGGTAGAGGAGGTCTGGTGTTTCTCTGGTTCCTGCAGTCCAAGCACTGTAGGGCACCTTTCCCTCCTTCCCCAAAGGCTTGTTCTGCAGCCTGCAGCCTAGATCGGGAATGGGCCATGTGTGGGATGAAATGCAGGGATGCTGGGTAGGATTGGCAGAGGCCCCCAGTGGCCCATTGCAGAGATGCCCACATTGGCACCCTGCATTACAGATGAGTCCTGACAGACCTGCTGGCTGTGGGCTGTCCTCTGCCCTTTAGGACAGGGCTGCTGTGATGTTTTCTTTGATGTGCCTGGGATACATTTTGCATCTGTTCACTTATCTTAAGTAATGTACAAAAACAGAAGATCCCAAACTGTATTCTTTACTTGTTTATACAGAGTATGACATGTTGTAGGTAAATGAACATTTATTATTTATCGTTAGTTTGATCCAAAGCTAATTGTCTCTCAGGTTTGAAATAGGAATTACCTTTAAAGAATCAAATATTTCTCTTTTTTTTTGAAGATTTTATTTATTTGAGAGAGGGAGCACGAACGGTGGGGAGGGGCAGAGGGAGAAGCAGACTCCCCACTGAGTGGGGAGCCCCACATGGGGTTCGATCCTGGGACTCCAGGATTATGACCTGAGCTGAAGGCAGACCCTTAACTGACCAAGCCACCCAGGCACCCTGAGAATCAAGTATTTCTCCTTAAAAACTGTTTATTGAACACATAGCTTTCTACATACCATTGGCTAAGATACTAAACCAAAGTCATAAGTAGCTTATAATCTAAGAAGGAGTTTTCAAGGCTGGAAACTCCAAGATCAAATCTAAAAGCTGAAGAGTTTTCTTTTCCTGGAAGAGTCGGTTGTCATAGAAACACAGCTTGGTACTAGTGGCACAGACCTCACCTTTCCCTCTGTTAGCTCAGCAACTGCGTACTGGGTACCTTCTGCCCATCAGGCACTATTCTAGGTGCCTGGGGTTTGCGAACAAAACTCGTGTCTCCAGGGAGCTTATATTCTGCCTGAGAAGAGAGACAATTCACAAGAAGCATGCAGAGTTAGAGGGTGGGAAGTGCCATGGAAAAAGCACAGCAGGGCAAAGGGGGTCAGGTGAGTGGGGTTGGCCCGGGTGAGCCTCCTTGAGAAGGTGGGGAGGTGCATTCTGGGGGGTGGGGGAACCCAGAGCATCTGCAGAAGCAAGGGCCTGACATGGAGAGTGGGAGAGGGTCACACATTGCCAGAGTTGACATGGCTACTTGGCAGCAGCTCGGCTCCTGGTCACCCGTTTTCTCTGACAGGCAAAGTAAGCACCAGGCACCTTCCCGCTTAGCATCTTAATGAACAGGATTCTGGTCAACAAATTGGTGAGCAAAGGGCTGCTGGCCTTTTGAGGTCATTTTGAAAGCTTTTTTTGTTTTCATAAATGGATTTCACAGGAGGCTCCCACTCTTTGCCACAGTGATGTTCTATTTTATTAAAACCAGCCTGAGTGTGGCTAGAACACCAGTTCATTTATTTTTCAGATGTTAGGCTGCTGGCGTTTTGTACAGCCCTAGTCGTGAAACGTTCATTCTTTCAGCCTCATCAAGAGGCAAACAAGGCAGTGCGAGGAATAAGGCTCTAGAGAGTCGGCTCTGCACCCAGCAGGCCGTGGCCTGGGGTGAGGGTCTGCCTCCCGTTCCAGCAAACCCGAAGCACGCTGCCAGGCCCCCGCACCAGCTCCGGGCAGCCTTGCACTGATGAGAGAAGGGAGGGGGGGATGAGGCACAGACGCCCGCGGCCTTGTGAGTAGAAGGAATTTGGCCCTTATTTTTGTAATTAGCAGAAATAGATGGATTGAGCAAGAACACAGTGTAGTTTTGAGAGACCTGGTGAGCTTTGCAAGAAATTCCTCTGCAGGTTCACCAGATGTGCTGCCATGCACTTCAGCTGGAGGCCTGCACAGGCTGAGATCTCTGTGGCTTGTGTCTAGGAGCTGCTTATTTTGCCTGTTGATGGGAACTTGCAGGTGGGAACCAGCCATCTGTGCACTTGTCACCATGTGAGGTAGGACAGCCTGCCGGTATGGACAGGAGACCCGTTCAGTCATTCAGTTGCGGTGTGCCCTCCGCCAGCTCCATCCCCGGCGCGAGAGTGCCTGTAGCTCCGCAGTGGGTGCACCCTGAGGCTTTGTGGTGCACGGCATGGGGTCGTGGTGAGGTGAGGTGGGGCCAGGCCGGCCGCCTGGGCAGAAAGTGGGTGACCGTCACAGTGTGCCCAGACTGGAGCCTTGTGGGCACACTCGTGGGGTCTATGTGGGGGCAAAAGTCTCATGAGGAGTCTGCAGACACCATCCAACAGTGCCTGCTGTGGTTGGAGTGAACAACGCTGTTCTGGGCACAGGCTCCACAGCGATGCCGTCACCGTGTGGTAGGCCACCCCTGAGGCACGTCACGGGACTGCCATCGGCAGTGAGGAGAACCAAGCAATAAAATTGGCTGAGAACGACTGTTGCTTTGGCCAAAATATCAACATGATGCATAGAATTTTTAAGTTGCAGTCAAGTATTACCTATATTTCAAAGAACCTTAATGACACAACCAGTACCTTTTAGAGGTTTTTTGCACAGTAATGTTAACAGTCATGTTTGGCTAACGTCGAAAGGAAAGATGCACGTTTGCTCCTGTCTTGTTCCCATCACGCATTAAAGTCAGGAGGGTTCTTGAGTGTTACTTAAACTGAAAAAAAAACCCACAGCTCTCAGGTACTTTTCCATCCCCAAACCTGTGTTTCTTCTCCTTGCACAGGAGGACGCGATAGTATTTTACTCATTACTGTTACTCTCTCCCCCACAGAATTTCTCTTTCCTAAAATGGAGCCAAGTAAAAAGATGGACTCCCCCGGGACCCTGCAGACTAACCCACCGCTAAAGCTGCACCCTGACCGCAGCGCCGGGACGTCCGTCTTCGTCCCTGAACAAGGAGGCTACAAAGAAAGGTTTGTGAAAACCGTGGAGGACAAGTACAAGTGTGAGAAGTGCCGCCTGGTGCTGTGTAACCCGAAGCAGACGGAGTGCGGACACCGGTTCTGCGAGACCTGCATGGCTGCCTTGCTGAGGTAGGCCCCGCTGCCCGGCGGCTTCTCCAGTCTCTCTCCCGCCCGTGCCATCACTTCTCCAAACAATATGTTCGGAAGGTTAAAACCTCTGAAGAAACTCAAAGTTCCCAGAGCCTCGCCTGTGAATCATTTAGGGAAACTCAGTAGAACCTCATGCCTGAATTTTCCAGGGCATCTGTGACTCGCAGCCTGGACTGCCCAGCCCCATCCCACAGATTTCTGTCTCCTCCCCACCAAGCACCTCCCGAAAGTCACTCCTGCACCTGCCACTCCCCGATGGTGCTCGCCACTCTGGACCTGTGCCCAGGTGTCCCCTGTCTGTGTTGCTCTAGAGGCTTCTGGCTCCATGGAGAGACACGCCCATTAGCAAGTGACAAAGGAGCCCTGAAAGTGCAGGTGCTCTTGGGGGGCAGAGGCTGAGGAGGACAGGGTCAGCAGGGAGGACTGAGTATGTCCCAGCCTGGGTAGGAATCTAGTGTTTTTGTGCTTACCCAGCAGTCAGCAAAGCACGCACCAAGCCTTTGGAAGCCCTTGTCAGCTAAGTATCGCTGCCAGTTTAGAATCACAGAGGGAGTCCGGGAGGCAGGCTGGAGTTTGACAGCACAAACAGCAGTGTCCAAGAGAGCATCTTGGTTCATCCCCCAGGTATTTTCTGGGCATGGTGCTGGGCACTGGGGGTTATGGCAGGATGCTCTCAGACTTGGTCCCCAAGGTCAGGGCACAGGGGCCTGGGAAGGCTGCCCACTTCTCCTGATTCACCACTGAGGGCACGGCCTTTAATAACCACACTGCAGACAGCCTTCCTCCTTGTCATCCTCCCCCTGGGTACTTCTGGCTGTGGTCTTACCCACTTATCCCAAACAATGAGCTCAGCTTCCCCTGCTTTGTGGCTAAAATGACTCTTGAGTCAAGCTTAGTGATAGCAGAGCAGACTCAGAGCACCTGGTTTTTCTTGCCATGCAAACCTGGACAGAGCGCTGGGCCAGGGTAGGGCTGCTGGCTGTGGGGCTGGGGGTGGGGGGTGGGCCCTAGAGCTAGGGATCCAGAGGGCTGTTCCTCTTCTGGTTTCGCTCCTTTTTCTGCCCCTGGCTCTCCTCTTCCATGTTTTTGCAGGTGTCAGGGGATCCCACTCAGATGCTACTCAGCCCTAGGGTCTAAGGATGTAAAAAGATTTGTATGATTAAAGCAGTTTAGCACAGGCTTCATATTAGGTATAGTTTAAATGAAAGCTTTTATTTAAAAACACATTAATTTTGTCTCCCATCAACCCCCAGTTCTCCTGCCCAGCTTCCCAGGCTTTTGGAGCCTCCCCACTGTGCCCAGGGCTCCGGCGTACACATGTCCAACCCTGCATCCTCCTTCCCGAAGCCTCCGCTGACACTCCCTGTCCTGGACTCCGGGAGCCCTTGGCTGTCTAGGGCAGAGGCCATGGAAGTAGAGAGGGCTCAAACTTCGTTTTGTTTTTAATCTCTAGGAGATGGTTTCCAGGCACAAGATGTGGTTAGAATCAAGTCCAAAAAAGGGCAGCTTGGGAGCAGGGGCTCTTGTCCTGTGTTTGGGGACAAGAATGATATAGTGGACGAGTGGTTTCCTTAGACAAGGTCAGTGTTAAATTCTCCTGTTAACTGTGGAATTGCATTGGCTTTTCAGTATATTGTGAAGGAAAATAGCTTATGGAGTAAGTACTGACTGTTTTTATAAAGCAAGACCATTTGTAGGCCCTCCTAATAAGCTATGGACGCTCACACCACAGAGCTTCTCCACAGAGAGCTAGTTTTGGTTTCTGAAATAAAATTTCACTTTTAATTGAAAGGGGCTTTCCAAGTGGGACTGATCTAAGCTGTGCTGCTTAAAAACTTCCTTATGAAAAATTACCATTAAAAAATTGAGCCCTTTGCTCCTGTGGCTTCATATTTCAACCCGGTTCGCTGTGGCATCCTGGGGCTCTGGTTGCTGCCATGAGCTTCGCACAGTGGGTTGACCATACTGGTTCAAGTGAGAATAGGACTTCTGCTCTATCTAATGTCTTCATGGTGTGTTTTCCCCTCAGCTCCTCAAGCCCAAAATGTACTGCGTGTCAAGAAGGCATCATTAAAGATAAGGTATTCTTGGGATTTTAATAAACAACCTTGTCAAATGCTTCGGTCATACTTGGCCCATGGTTTGCACCCAGTGCTCTGGGCATGCTTGGATTGCGTCTTGGGGCTTGACCGCGGGTGCTGCAGTGTCGAGGCAGGACAGCTGCCCAGCTAGGTGACCTTGGCCAGGTACTTCACCCACCTGTGTCCTTGCCTGTGCCGGTAGTGGCACCACCTCCGGAGACCCCGGAAGGTGCGTGGGGGTGAAGTGTGGAGACGCAAGCCGTGCTCTCAGGCTTTTCCACCAGACAGCTGGGATTCTGCTGGTCTCAGGAGTTCAGCAGGATTTGCTCTCTGCCTGCCCCTGTGCACCACCTCCCAGTCACTAGACGGATGTGGGATTTCCACCCTCCCCCTGCCGCGTGATAATGTGTGCCAGTGAAAGCTCTCTGTCAGTGCAGACTCTCAGAGGGCCTCTGGGGGGCCGCCCACCAGCTTCCCTCCTGGGGCTCTGATCCCCCCCACCGCCCGGGGTGCCTCTGGTCATCTATGCATTGCCAGAGCCCGCTAGGCATGCTTTTAGTTTGAAATGACTCATTCTTAAAGTACTTAAAATATCAATAAAAAATGTGTGGTACCAATATTTTGATTGATGAATCTAACAATTTTTTAAATGTAGGTCATTAAATTATACAGTAAAATTCCTGCTCTGGGGTTTTGTGTCCAGAGCACTTTGCAGATTAGGTTTGTGGTCAGGGCCACCCAGGTGAGTACGAGGATTTGAGAATCCAGGCAGTAGGGGCTCCTCTGCAGCCAGAACAAGGGCGCCTGGTGTAACTCCTCTGGGCAGCTTAGAGAACGGAACTGGCACCATGACCACATCCCTTGTCTTCCTCAGCGTTTACCTGCTGCTGCAGGCTGCACTGCATCGAAGGGAAGGGGTTGTTTCTAGGAAAACAAGTCACCCAACTACCCCTTATCTTAGCATGGCCGCTAGCTTGTTAACGTGTGTCCCACCCATGTGATCGAGGTAGAGGTTCAAACACCGGACCTTGTCTGTCTCATTGTTCAGAATTATTATCCCTATTTTTCAATGGCATTAGTAACTGAAGAAGAATTACTAGTTTTGTTGGAGCATCATGAATGACACTGACAAATGCCTTGGATCCTCCTCACAGGAAAATGGGGCTTGGAGACTGAGATCTGCCCTCTGCAGGTCACTGTGGGGCCTCAGGCTCCTCCTCTATACAATGGGAAAGTTGCAGTAAATCATCTCGGCTCTCAAATGCTGTACTTTCACTATTTTGACATTGCCAATCTTTGTTTTGTATCCGTAAAGTTAAACTCAAATGACTTAAGAAACTTAATGCCACAAAAAGGAAGCTTATTTCCTACCTGCTAAAAATACCTATTTGGTGACTTTAGTGTGTTTTTAAAAAGGTCATGTTTATGAAGGATTAGATTTGACTCCAAATTATTTTTAACTCTTAACAGCTGTTGATTCTATTTCTTTGCCTGTGGAGTTGAGAAAGGCATATTAAGGTCCTGTTTTTTTCACTGTTACAGAGTGTTAACATATAGGAGTTTCTTAGAAACGCCTGAAGATGAAGACAGTCTAGACTCTTGCTAGAAGGAATGAACCTGCTTGTTTTCTAAGGGAAAAATACAATTAAAGAAAGAAATGTTTTCATTTTCAAAGGGAAACATTTTTTTTTTTAATTTTTTAAAAAATTTTTTGAAAAAGATTTTATTTATTTATTTGACGGAGAGAGAGACACAGCGAGAGAGGGAACACAAGCAGGGGGAGTGGGAGGGGGAGAAGCAGGCTTCCTGCTGAACAGGGAGCCCGATGCGGGGCTTGATCCCAGAACCCTGGGATCATGACCTGAGCCACAGGCAGACACTTAACGGATTGAGCTATCCAGGTGCCCCCCAAACGGAAAGATTTTCATTATTGGATTAACTTCAGTCATTGCAAGATTTATTAAAAAGAGGGTTTTTTTGGGGGGGGTTCCTGGGTGGCTCAGTTATTAAGCGTCTGCCTTCAGCTCAGGTCATGATCCTAAGGTCCTGGGATTGAGCCCTACATTGGGCTCCCTGCTCGGTGGGAAGCCTGCTTCTCCCTCTCCCACTGCCCCTGTTTGTGTTCCCTCTCTCGCTATGTTTCTGTCAAATGAATAAATAAAAATAAAATCTTTAAAAAAAAAAAAAAGGGTTTTTTTTTTTAGTAGCAGGCTAATACTGCCTCCTTTTTGGTGAAAAATGAGTTATGAGGGACCAAACCTTAGAAGAAAGAACTAAAATGTTTTACAAACCATCTGCAAGATATGATCTTTTACAATAGTCTTGCTGTTTCTTTAGCAAACGACCTAAAGAGGCATTGAATGATAGCAGGTTCTGCCCTTGTCCCTTGGTAGGAGTGTTCCACGTATGGACACCCCCACAGAGCTGGCTCCTGGAAGCCTCCAGAGTCCAAATACGAACCTGGCCCTGGTGCATCCACACCTTGAGATTATGTCAGAGTTACTCTGTTCAGAGTATTTGCATGCTCCAAAGCAATCTTTAATTATTTGGTATAACTTGTTTTCATTTGGCTTATCTAATAAAAGACGGTAGTTAAGATTGTATTATTTAAATTGTGACTCTTAGTGGGGACATCTCCTTCATTCTGTTCTAGAAATTAGAAATTAAGTTGGTCCTTAATGCTTTCTGAGGTCCACTTAAGAGATGCTCTCGTGACTTTTTTAAAGTGGTTTTGCCTTCTCTGAAGTAGCAGCATGTGGAGATTAAGAAATATTAATCCTCTGAAATAACTATCTTCCCATTTCAGGTGTTTAAGGATAATTGCTGCAAGAGAGAGATCCTCGCTCTTCAGATCTACTGCAGGAATGAAGGTGGAGGTTGCACAGAGCAGTTGGCACTGGGACACCTGCTGGTAAGCCCTAGGGGGCCGTGCTCCATGCTCACATTAAGAAATAGAACATCTTGGGGCCCTGGGAGGCTCAGTTGCTTTAGCATCTTGGTTTCGGCTCAGGTCATGGTCTCAGGGTGGTGAGATGGAAACCACGCCCCCCTTGTTGGCTCCATGCTCAGCAGGGAGTTTGCTTGAGATTCTCTTTCTCCCTCTCCCTCTGCCCCTCCCCCAACTTGCACACACTTGCTCGCACTCTGTCAAATAAATAAATCTTTAAAAAAAAAAAAAAAGAAAGAAATATAACTCCCTGATCAGTATGATGTGGTACCCTAAGACCATGGTTATGTTGATTTTCAAAACACAACCAAACATAATAGCAGTCCAAGCCACTGAGGTACAAAATGTTATTTTTATGACATCATTGGCAGAATTGCCAACTGGTTTTTAAACACCCCCACTCTATTTAGAATGGAAAGAAATCTGAACTGGTTTTTAATTTTGGAAGGCCTGTTAAAACCTTCTCTCTCTTTTTTTTTAACCATGAAATTCCACACAACTTCTTTCTTTTTTTATTAGCATCTTATTTTATCCTGGAAAGATACTCGAACTGGAATAAAACAAAGTCCTTAGCAGTTAACCATTCATTTACCCAGGAAGAAGAGTTGGCTTATGCCTTCAAAAGCAGTATAGTTTGGGTAATCACTAAATAGAATACAAAATTCATTGTTTCTCAATACATTTGTCACTCTTCTCTGTGAAAAACGGGGCTAGTGTCTAACTGACACTAGGAGTGGCCAGTATGGAAAGATCAGCAGAGTGGTGCCCGCTCTGTGAAAAACAGCAGGCAGAAACATTTCTGGAGGCTAGAATCCAGTATTTCAGGTTGAATTTCTTTGCCAGTTAAGAACCTTGAAGTGTTTGTTTTATAGGTGCATTTAAAGAACGATTGCCAGTTTGAAGAGCTTTCGTGCATCCGTGCTGACTGCAAAGAAAAAGTGTTGCGAAGAGACCTGCGTGACCACGTGGAAAAGGCCTGCAAGTACCGGGAGGCCACGTGCAGCCACTGCAAAAGTCAGGTCCCGATGATCACGCTGCAGGTGCGCTGCCTCCACCCCCCCCAACCTACCTGCAGCTCCGTCCAAGTGTAATTTGTCACAGATTTAAAGCACTGTTCTAAAAGGAATAAAGAGAAAAGAGAGGAGGAAATGGCAGTTTTCATCTGGCTTTAATTCAGAGTTAAGCTTTATTTGTTTTGCCCATTTTGATTTGTATAATTAACATTTTCCCATTGCCTTGATTGACTGTCATTTGGGATGCCAAAAAAAAAAACTGAAGACTAATTATCAAAAAAAGGTAGAATTTTTCTCTTGTCCCAGGGAATGTCCTCAAAATCTTACTGGATTGCTTAATCTTTTAAGCAGCTCTGGGACATAATCGTCACTTCAACAGAGTAATTCATCCTGCAGCATCGAAGTGCAGCTGTCTGTCTTGGAAGAGAGATGAGAATTTCATTTTTCACACCTTGATTATTTTGGCACAGTTCTGTATTGTGCATGTGTTAGAAATCAGATCCCTTATCTGTAAATTAGAGAGAAATGTTGGGAGTGGAGGACAGACTTTAAAAACAATCAGTAGTAGGGGTGCCTGGGTGGCTCAGTCGTTAAGCGTCTGCCTTCGGCTCAGGTCATGATCCCAGGGTCCTGGGATCGAGCCCCGCATCGGGTTCCCTGCTCGGCGGGAAGCCTGCTTCTCCCTCCCTCACTCCCCCTTGCTTGTGTTCCCTCTCTCGCTGTGTCTCTCTCTACCAAATAAATAAATAAAATCTTTAAAAAAAAAAAAAAAAAGCAAAAACAGTCAGTAGTACAGTAGCCCTCTAATATTTGTCCATTTCTTGCACAAATATTCACTGAGTACCTACTATGTGCTGGGTACTGTGCTGGGAGCTGGGGGTTCAGTGGTGACACCTTCTAGTGGGAAGGGGTAATTAATAGGCAAACATAATGTGCGGTAGTGATTTGTACTATGAAGAAAAATGCAGTAGCATCATGGGCAAAGGGGTGATCAGGGCTGGCCTCTCCAAGGCAGTCAGGCAGGCAGTGTGGGGAGAGTGCCCCGAGCAGAGGCAGCAGCAAGGGGTGCACAGGCTCTGAGATGGAACTGACTTGGCAGGTGGATTTCAGGAGCTGTGAGAGGCCAGCGTGGCTCCCATGCCTGGTGCAGAGGTGATGAGTAGCAGGGGAGAGGGAGGGGGCAGGCAGGCACTGGGCAGCCTTGAGCAAGGGGGTGATGTTGGAGTTCCCCATCAGGTGCAGCACTCTGGCAGGTGTGACGGTAGACGTAGGGTAAGAGGAAAACATGGAGGCGAGGCAGTGTTGGTCTGTGCAGGAGGGAGGAGGGAGGTCCACTGGGGTACATTGGGAAGGTAGAGGCAGTGGTTTTGGTTCATGGCTTGAATATGGAGCATGTGTTAAGGATGATGTCTGTAACTAGAGCATCTGGATGAACCCGAGTGTTCTGTTGAGGTGGGGCTCGGTGGAGCATAGCAGGCTGGAGGGGAGAATAGGACAGTGGTCTGGGCTACTGGTGCATCTTAATTAGGTGGTCCCTGGAGCCTTGGGGACAGAGGCCTGGGGCTCATGAATGCTTACAGACTGCTAAGAGGGGAGGTCAACTAGCAAAGGAGTGGCCAGTATGGAAAGGTCAGCAGAGTGGTGCCCCGGAGGCAGAGAGAGCTGGGGGGGTGGGCAGAAAGGGCAGACATTGCTGAGAAGCTGGGGGCTGCTGGGGATGACCTCTGGACGTGGCAGGACCGTGACTGATGGGACCAAGATGGGAGAGGACCAGAGTTTTGCAGCCAGAGTGTGGGGGCCCAGGTGGTTCCTGGTGGATATTCTAGAGCATTTATTGACCAAAATTTAGGGAAAGTTTTTGTTTTTCTGTATGAAATGAAATGAAATGTACTCTACTTCATAATCTACATGTTTACCTTCCTTTGTACAACTTACCTGTGCCTGTGATTTTCTTCTCTTGTGAAGTCTTTTTCCTGTATGATTTCTGTAGACATTTCCAGTTATTAAGGACTTTTAAGAACTGTAGAAAATAGGAATAGTGTTTGGCCTAATTGAATCGTTCCTTCAGTAACTCAGTTCAGACGAATGAGACCTATACTTAGTGAGCAGTATTGCAGCCCTTACAATGTTGGTGTGTTGCTATCAAAGTTATACTTCGCTTCTTGCAAAAACCAGTTATCTTTACTTGCAGAATAGAATCCAGGAATTAACTTTATTCGAGAAAGAATTGTACAGTGTGTCAGTTAGACACTATATAAGTAACTGACTCTGAACTCCGACTAGGCTGAAAAGAGACTGGTTTTAAAGTAACAAGGTAAGGGCTCGCCTGCCCCAGGTCACCGTGGTGACCCCCTCCCGGACCGCAGCAGGGCAGCTACACGCTGGGAGGGCTCCTGGGTCTCCTCCTGTCAGCTAGGAGCACGCTTAGTCTCATCCTGTCCTGCTGTGGGTTTATTTTTAGAAAGAGCAGGCATCTCAGAGGCATGTCTCCAGCCCAGGTCACCCTGACATCCCCATATTTCCTGTGTTTTATGAAGGGCATCAAGTACACTGGGTGTTGATGAGATCCAGATTGATAAAGCATCGAGGCCCTGGCCCGTTGCAGCTCGTATGAAGGTTCCTTTCCTACGTTTAAACCATGCTATTGACGTTACATTGCTGTTTTCAAGTTTTTTCTTAATCTATAGATCAGCATAATTTAAAGTGCTAGGAGAGAATCCCCTTTGTCACATCTAGTCTAGAAACTGTCAAATGTGATCTCTAAACAGTTCTGTTAACTTGTGGAAAGTCAGAATTCTAGAGATCTCCTTTTCTGGAAAAATGTGTATCTTGTAATGGGAATATATCGTATAGGTGCAGCCACCGTGGAAGGCAGTTGGGCGATGTTTTATTAGGTTGAACATTTCTGTACTTGGCTAATTAGCAGTCCCTCTCCTAGCTGTGTGAGAGAAACTGTCACATATACACACCAGGAGACAGGGCCCGGCATAACCGAGCTGCAGAACTCCGGGAACAACCCCACACGTCCATCAGCTGGGGCGGGGACATGTCAGTTGTGGCGGACCCAGCAGACTGCATGTGACGGACGTGGCAGGAAAATTTTAGGCCTGAGGACCCCCAGCTACACACGACACGAGCGTTAGCCTGAGAAACACGATACTCAGCCGGGTCTCAAAAGACTCTTAGGGTAGAGTTCCATTTTAATAAAATTCAAAAGCAATCAAAACAGTATTTTGTCTGGCCCACATTTATGTGTAATGTAACTTTTTTAAGCAAAGGAAGTAGAAACACAAAATTCTGATTTTCGGGTTAGGGGTTCCTCCCTGGGGGAAGGTGGAGGACACACAGGTAAATGGGAAGCCCTCAGTTATGTTCTTGTCCTTGGTGGGTGCCCACCATATGGTTATATCTATTCTGTGCCTATCAGAGTTACATTTAATTTGGTAGACAGGACTAACTTCTTAGTATGGAGAGAATTCTTATGTATCAGTAGGTTATCCGTTTTTTTAAGTGGGCATGTTGTTTTCCTGGGGCTGCTCTAACAAAGTGCCACAAAGCTGGTGGCTTAGAACAACAGAAGTATAGTCTCTCACAGTTCTGGAAGCGAGAAATTCAAACCCAAGGTCTTGCCAGGGCTTCCTCTGAGGGCTCCAGGAAAGACCCCTTCCCTGCCCCTTCCAGCTCCTAGAGGCTGTGGTCCTTGGCATTCCTTGGCTGGCAGCTGTCCGCCTCCCTGCTCAGACACCTTCTTCTGGGGCATGTCCTCTCCTCTCATAAGGGCACCCATGGTTGGATCCAGGGCCCACCCTAATCCTAATCCACCAGGGCCTCATCTTCACTGATTACATCTGCAAAGATCTGATTTCCAAATAAGGTCATATTCCAAGGTTCTAGAGAGACATGAATTTTGGGGGTCACTCTTCAGCCCACTACTGTGGGCAAAAGCTGTGAAAAGGCAAGTCACAGGAACTATAAATGATTAATAAATATCAAAATATACCTTCCCACACATTATTAAATAATTGCAAATCACACTCACTGCCTTTTCCACCTGTCACGTCAGAGATTGAAAAGTCTGATGGAATTGACGAGGGTATAAGCCTGTGTTCCTGTGATGTTGGGAGTGTGTTTGTGTAGGGTTATTGGAGAGCAGTTTGACAATATCTATCAAAATCCATTTAAAATACCTGTACCCTTTGATACCCAACAAAGCCTACTTCTAGAAATTCATTTTCGGGTATGTTTGCACAGATCTGCAGAGACAGACGTTGGAGGATACTGGTAGGTCTGGCCCCAGCCTCTTGTCACACCATCTCCTGCCCCACCCTCCTAGAGCACTGCTCCCACGCACTGCTAGTCCTTCTCAGAGCTCCCTTCCCAGAGCCCCTGCCCCGTGTCCCCTCCTGGTCTCCGCCTGCCTCAGAGGGGCTTACCTGTGTGCAAGCTGTCTTCATCGGGCCGGCTGCAGCACCCAGTGCACGCCCGACCTGGGGAATGGAGGTGGGTTCAAGGGTAGGTGCAGGGAGGAGGTCTGGCATCCGTGGAACGTTCACCATGTGACCTCTCCAGGCCCATGACTGATCGGGTCCTCACAGCCCCTCTATGAGGGAAGACAGATACTCCTCCCACTTCTAGATGAGGCAGGGAGGTGGAGCCCTTTGTCTGGGGTTTTCCACTGAAAGACGAAGCCTTGACTCGTTGGCACCCGGGAGCTCTCAGGGATCCGAGCACAGCCAGGCAGAGTAGAAAGCCAGCCGCACCGCCCCATGTGGTGCCTCGTGTGGGAGGCCAGCTGGTCAGGCTCAGTCCAGTCAGGTGCTTTCTATTGAGCTCTGAGCAGTCCTGGACTTGCCCTCTGGGGCCTCTGTGGGCCTCTGAGGCCCGAGCCCAGGAGCAGAGCCATCTCTGCACTACAGACCATACCCCAGCGCACTCACAGAGACACCGGACTTCAAAGCACGCTGAAGAGAGTGCGGTGCCTGGCACCTTGCCTGGGCCCCCGTTGCCCTTCCGCACTGTGCCTGCCTAGTTGGACTGAGGCTCTCGGCTATGCCTCCCACTCTCCCCACCCCCATCATTCAGCATCCCAGCATAACTGTGGAGGCCCTAATCTGAAAAACCCGATGAGAATCAGAAGTATCGAGGGTAATGAGGAAAACCGCAAGATTCCTTTCTGCTTGGTGCTGCGGCCTCCAGGGGCCTGTCCCGCAGGTTGTGTTGTGTGGCCTGCAGTTACAGCTCTCGTTCTGCCTGCGTTAGTCTCTCTCGAGTGGCCCTTTGTCATGTGTCTGGCGGTGCTCTCCAGGGCTCTTGGGTTTGATGTCCTGGTGGGCAGCTCTTGCTGTAACTTTGCTACTGAACAGATGCCCAGCAGGTGCCCGTGGCATGGGTTGAATAGTCGTCATCCAGGCTCTGCAGAGTTGAAATTCATACCATCCAAAGAAGGGCTAAATCAAAATTTGTCCATATTTTCCATGCCTTATAGATAATCTAGTAAAATTCCAGGGAAGTAATTTAAATACCCAGCGGCTCATGCCGTTTGCAGGTGTCGGAGAAGCATCATTTACAGACCCCAACCTGAGAGGCCAAAAGAAAACCACCCTTCTCTCCAGCAAACAAAGTCTGGACCCTGGGCTGCAGTGTGAGTGGCTGCAAGGGCCAAGCCTGCCTGTGCACACCCGCACAAACGGGTGCTGTCTGGTAGAGGCTGCTGTGGGGGCACCATCTCCGGGCTCCCACCACACCACTGTGCTCCCACCGATGGCCTCACCTGTCAGATTTGGGTAGATCTCCCAAAACACCTTACCTTTTTTGGCTCTCAAACTGAGCATGAGGACTCCTCCAAATGTGTCAGAACTCAAGAAAACCGGGCCAGTGAGCAGAGTGTCCTTTGGGTCTTCATGGTGACAGTGGAGATACCGATGGGGTCTGAAGGGAGGCGGGTTTGTATGTCTCAAAGTTGATGATGCTTTCTTTTTTTCCTCCAGAAACACGAAGACACTGAGTGTCCGTGTGTGGTGGTGTCCTGCCCCCATAAGTGCAGTGTCCAGACCCTTCTGAGGAGTGAGGTAAGGGGCATGGCCAGGCCTGTTGAGGAGTTGGTGACATCTCCCAGACTAGCTTGCCAGAGACTCCATCCTTCCCCAGTAGCTGAAGTCGAAGGTTTCGTAGATCACGATAGTGATGCGTACGGTAGAAAGGCAACAGAGAACCTCACGCTATTTTGGGGCATCAGAAATTTCAGACGCAAGCAAATAAACGCTACAGAGTGGTTAAATTCAGAGCAGAATATTGTTAGGAACTGAGAAAACGGAATTACTTTACAAAAGTGCAGGCAAGAGTAATAACTTTTTAGGTTCTAAAAAAAGCTATTTTTAAACCTGGTAAAATAGGAGTTACTGTAAGATTATCTCAAAATAAATGACTTTACAGACACTCCAGACCCGTTTGGCCACGTATGCTGTGCAGGGTTGGTGCTGCGGAGCAGGTGGGCCCGTAGGTGGCTCCCACATTTCAGGGGCCAGTGAGAAGGGCCCTGTGTAGCCTCCCCCAGAGGTCATGTGTCTCACACTGCCCTTGGGCACACTTTTTTTTAAGGCAGGTAGATTTTACATTAACTTCATTTGATCAGGACATATCCAGTTGGAAAAATTCCAAGGATTCTTAAATGTTTTGGCATCTGGTCCTGATCTGGAGCCCCTTTAGTTGCTGTTTCGGGAGCATCTGGGGCTCCTGTGCCCCCTGGTCCCCTGGCAGGTCCCTCGGGCCCGGGTGCTCTGATCTGAGGAGGCTGCTCACCTCAGCCTTTTTCAACAGCCTGGAATTTTACCACTGGATATTGAGGAGGTGTGAGGGTCAGTGTCTTCTCACATCCCCTCTGAGCAAGAGGACCTATGTGGGCCTGGAGCCAGGAGCACGGGGTACAGAGAGGACCCCCCAGAACCACTCTCACCCAGAGTGTGTCCTCCCAGGAAGGTGACTCTGCTAGGCCGGGGCAGGGTCTTGCCGGGTGGCCATGGTCCCTAGGCCTGGAATGTGCCTCTGGGAGTGGCAGGGAGATGCGTATAGATTTCCACTACTAGGAAGTCCCTCTGCTAAAGCGAATGGATGAAGCATCTGCAGTGTTGAAGTGATTACCAGGGTTTTATACGCTTTCCAGAATTTTCACTCAGGGCTACCTGAATTAGGGACAAATGCTAACTCCATTTGCCCCCAAGTTATTTTTCTTTTAAAAATCTTTAAACCTGCATTTATCTTGGGTTTCTGGTGAACAATGCTATTGGTCTATAAATTATTCTTGCCTCTATTCCAAAGCTCCTGTGAGAAATGATGATAAAGGCTCTGAGAGAAATGATAATGAGCCAGTTTAAGAGAAAGTGTGACCCTGAATTTATAGTGCCCCACTGAAAATGATATCAGACCCTTGTGTCCCTGACTTTAATACCAGAAGCGTTGGCTGGATAGGTTCACGATTATAGCGCTGGTACTGAAAGAGTAGATCTTAAAACTTTGAAGCTGATGTTACTACACACAGTCTCATGCTTCGTCTCTCTGCCAGTCACCTGTGATCTACCTTTTGGGCGCTTTCCTCCAGGTGCAGGCCAGAGCTTCCTGGCTGGGTTCAGGGGAACATCAAGTGTGCTAGGCTGCTAGATCTGTAACCACCATGACTCTGCCCTGGCTCAGAGACCTTCCGCAGAGATTGGCCTATAGGCTCCCCATGACATTGGCCCTTCTCTGCAGCTTTTGCCACAGACCCACACTCCTCCCTGTCCTAAATACTGACCTAAAGGAGAAGGACTCAAGGACTCTTTGTCCTGGTGACAGAGGACGGGCCCAGGAGCCTCTGGAAGCCTGTGTGCACACAGAAAAACCCAGGGCCAGCTCTGCAGTGCGCTCAGACACCCCCTTTCCTAATTCAGGGTGTAATTGTTCTCTATAAAGAAGATCTATCCCTAGAGTTTCCTGATGAGAATTTCTTCAATAAAAGAAGAAGCTGTCCTTAAATTGTATTAGCCTAATGAATAGCACTGTGTCTTTAAAATGTAGACATTTCAATTCCCTTTTCTCTTGAGGGGGCATCATATGTGGTTTTTATTTGATGATTTGCCAACATTTGAGCTGAACAAAGGGGTTTTTCCTTGTATGAAGAGTTATCCTCTCCCAATCTCCCTTAATTTTCTTTTACCAATTAGAGGTGACAATGTTAAGATTCATGTTGTTAGAATGACCTTAGCGATCTGTGAGAAGTTACATGAATTTATGGGCACTGAGAGGGGAAAAAAAAAAGTCTTTTCAGAAGAAGGAAAAACTCATCTCGTTATCTTGAGTACTGAGAGTAATGGTACATCGTGTAAGCTTGCTTCAAAAATATATTTATTTTTGTGTACTGTATATTAGGTGTGTGACCCAGTTACATCCTGAATGCTTTCTCTTTTTTGTGTTTCATGCAATTTTTGTTTATAGTCTTTAAATGTTCATTTCAGTTTACGTTTTTTTCCTTCTTTTTTAAATTCTGGCACTGCAGATGGCATGTTACATTTTGAACAATTTGTTCTAAAGAAACTGCAGGTTTAAGAAATGTTACAGTAACTGTATTTCTGTATATTGGCGTATATATGTGTATACACGTGACAGTAGTGTATATTTACTGCATCTAAGTCTAGGAAGCGGATGGTATGTACACACCTGTAGCTGATAAGCCCCCTTCGTGACAATACAAACCAGATGCTCTCTGTGCCCTTAATATGTTTGAACATTTTCATGCAGACGCTTGTGCCACAACTCACGTCTCTTTCCCGTTGCAGTTGAGTGCACACTTGTCAGAGTGTGTCAATGCCCCCAGCACCTGTAGTTTTAAGCGCTATGGCTGCGTTTTTCAGGTCAGTATCCAACATTTGTCCTTCCCAGTCACTGACATTCTGCCATGAGAGAAAGTTACTATCTTAACATCTTAACATGCAAGTTCTGGACCTGTAGTCTTTGTCTTGGAACCGAGTCACCAGGCTGCACGGGTGGTGAAAGCCGCCCCGTGCAGCCGATGTGGGTGCTTGCTCTCCATGCCTGTGGTGTTCTGAGACTTCAGGTGGACACCTGTGCTGAGAAGGAAGTCAGGATGTTGGCAGAACAGCTCCATCTAAAACCAGCTAGGACGTGGGACAAACAGGACTGACGGTCGTGGGGGGTTCTAGGGAGATGGTTATGGAACTTTAGCCGGTCTTTGACGATGAGTGGGTATCAACCCAGACACGGTTTGGGCGGTGTGCGCATCAGTACACAGCCATGAGGAAACGCATCTCATAGTATCTGTGCCGCCCTCCCAGAACAGCCGTGTGGACAGGGCTTCTCCACCGCCACACTCGTGCTGCGAGAATCCCGTTTCTGGGGCTTTTTGGTTTTTTAACACGTCTGAGCTTGCTAGTGAATTTGAACTGGGTTTCATTGAAACGTATATCTCAATCTTAAAACTAATCAGAGGGCAGTATATATTACAATTAAAGTATTTTATATTTAATTTTGTGTATTATCAATATATTATTATGAAATCAGTACAGAGATACTGGCATCTCAGTATTTTCTTAGAAAGTAAAGAACCCCAAGCGTAAGAATGACTGTAGCCCTCCCTTTGTTTCCGTCTCTTAATGAGACGGAGCCCTCGCCACTGTTATGTCGTATGTAGTACCATTCATTCTGTGTATGTATATATATATATATGTTTATATATAGCAATACTTATATCAACATATATATATGAATATTCTATGTACAGAGTATATGTTTTGGAGATCATTAAAATGCTTTCTGTGGCTTCTTAATTTTCTAATATCGAAACAAATTATATTTTCATACCGATTATTCCCTTAACTATATGAAGTACTATTTCATGTGCTTATTCCTGACTCTAAAACGGCCTCCATCTTATGTACTCTGTAGATTGTTTATGTTTTGTATGTAACTTTCCAAGTATACTTAGAACAGTGAGGAGCAATACGTTTTCTAATACAGTGTATTTCCCTAATAAGTTAATATTCTAGAAAATTATTTAGAATTCCACTTTGATTACATAGTCGTTCACTAGATTATTGTAGCACTGTCTAGCTGTAACCGCAGGTGCCTAAACATTTCCCATTTGTATTTTTAATGCAGAAAGTTACAAAAGAACAGAAATGAGAGGTCTCAGATTTAATTTCTTGATCTTACAAATACGAAATGCAGGTGGGAAGGCTCCTGGTACGAAGCTTGAGGAGCGACGAGCATGACGGACTTGGGATTGCTGTAGAATTACAGGAGGTCTGCTCTCCTGGCCTGCCTCCCCACCTGCCCTCGGTAGAGTGGGGGGTTGCTGAGCATGGCCCTCGAAGGCTTGGAGACCGCCCAGTAGCTGCACAGGAATAGGGCTCCCCTCTTCGTGTCTAGTGCTGGGTTTAGGTCATGTGTTAGTCTTGCCGCACTCTGATGGAGTGAGGTCAGCTTAATGCACTGCATCTCTGTTCTCGCAGGGGACAAACCAGCAGATTAAGGCCCATGAGGCCAGCTCCGCGGTGCAGCATGTCAACTTACTGAAAGAGTGGAGTAACTCTCTAGAGAAAAAGGTACGCCAGACTGCTTCCCGCTTTTGTTGGCTTTTAATCATTTATTCAAATTATTTAAAGAAGAAAATCTTTTTTATAGTTACTAATGGTTTTGGATAAAAGAAACAGTATCAAGAGAATGTCAAAAAAGTAAATTTCTTTTCACATGACCTTGAGCTCCTAAATGAAGGCATTTGTGTGTGTATGTGTTCTTTGTTTGTTAATTGCCAAGCAAGCATGCAGTGCCTTTTTTTTTTTTTTTTAAATCACATTGTGGTTACCTTAGCACTGACCTAGAACGGGGATTCTCAGACTGCTAAACCCCCCTTTCTCCTCCCATCAGCCTCATCTTTTTGTAAATAAAGTTTTATTGGAATGCAGCCATGCTCATTCATTTCCCTGTTGTCCCTGGCTGCTTTTGCAGAGTTTAGGAGTGAGACAGAAACTGTACAGACCTCACAGCCCAAAATGTTTACTCTCTGGCTCTTTACAGAAAAAGTCTGCCAACACCCAATCTGGAAGGTGATGAGGGTTAAATGCTTCACCATTCTTTGTCTTTTCTGAGCAACATTGCCCCCCCACCCCCACCCCGGTGTTACTGTTGACTTCCTCACCAGACACTTTGTGGAAGTTTGATGCAGAGAGCCCTTGTTCTCCAGCTGGGCTTCTTTTCAAGAGGCCTCAGTTGTGGGGGCTGTGGGCTCCTTAGCAGACACCTTACCCATGTAATACTTCTTCCCCGGGGGAGTTCTCGGTCCGTGGTGTTCACCTGGGCAGGGCCCTCTATTCATGAGAAAAACATGAAGACCTCCAAGAACTGATAGAGAAGAAATTGTAACAGGATCTCTCATTGTGGTTTCTATACAAAAATAAAGACTTATTTCAATATTCAGGAAACATTTTAGAAAATTTGCAGTAGGAAGGTACCGAGATGAATTAGAGAAACTGGTGGAATTGATGTTTATTTTCTAAAGATTTGTAGAGATTTGAATGCCTTGTTCCCAGTATGAAATCCAACCAATTTAAAATGTGAATGTATTTGAAAAAGTCTAAAATTCTTAATCAAAAGACTTATATGAACTGACATAAAGTAGTTTTTTAATACAAATGTTTATGCTGAAGACAAGAAGCGACAGAACGGTTGACTTGTCACACGTACACACACAAGTACGGCAGAGGGGGGTCCTCTTCAACGGGGACATAAAATGTGTGTGAGAGGAGTCATTGTGAGTTCCCCATGAACACACAGTAGTCACTCTGAGTTAATGATGGTTTACGTAAGTCTTTTTTCCCCTCTGCTTGAAGAATGTGTTCTGTTTCTGCTTTTTAAAAAATTATAGGCATAGACGCCAGGGCTCTCTGTCTCTCATCGGCACTCTGCTTCTCACTTAGGAAAAAGGTTCTTTCTTTTGTTTAAAATGCATTGGTTCTGTTCCAGCTGTACTAGTTAGCTAACAGTTTGCGGTTCTGAGGGGTGTGGCTGTCCAGTGGGACAGTCGTAGAAGGTGCCTTTGCCAAGTCTGCTCCCAGAGCTGAGCCCCCACCAACGCATGCAGAGGGTGATCCCTCGGTTGTGTTCTTCTCCCCACCCCATTTCATCATGCGTGCTCCACTCCATGTGAGTGGTTTGTATCCGTGGAAATGCCGGGACCCAGCACGGTGGCTGCCTGTGCACAGCCCACAGTGGTTTCTCACCCTCCAAACACCTCACGTGTTGGAACCATCACTGGCCACGCCAAGCACCTGCAAGGGCAGGATGCATCGCCATGCATTGCAGCTGACAGATTTGAAATCTTTGCCCCCTTGGTCTCTTCCTGACTCTGCCCAGCAGAATGGACCCCTGCCTAGGCGTTCAGGTCAGCCAAGCCTGGGCTGTGCGATGTTGTGTGTGTTCACGTGAAGGTGCCTGTCTCTTCCCTGGGCCCAGAGGCAAAGGCTAGACAAAGAAGGGAGATACTCATCTTTTTTAAAATGGGAATTTATTTCTCATTATAGAATTACTCAGTTGGAATCTCTGAGGTTATTTTGTTCATGTGTAGTGGAAAATAGAATGTTTGAGTTGGTTCAAAAACTCTGATCCATCACATTCATGTCAAATTAAGGAAAAACTATTTTGTAAAACATGGACTTAAAAACACCCATCTTCTGTATTAGGGAAGCTTACAGGGAAATAGGGAGTGCCCCACCAAAATAGGGTGGAGTAAATGTTGTTCTCACTGAGGAGGGTCTCAGGAAAGGACAGGGGGACTCCTGCTTTCATCTGCCGTGGGGATGTTCTGCTGTTTTCTTGGAAACCCCTGCCAGGTAGATTTTTCCCATGCATGTCATGTCTACCTGATAGACGGGTGAAAGCTGGGATCTGCAGGCGCTTGGGAGGTGGATTCTTTCGTTAAAATAAATAAGTATATAAATAAATAAAATTTAAATTAGGGCGGTCCCTAAATTAATAAATTAAGAGTTTAATATGGCATGATGTGTGTTCATTAATGTGAGATGCTTCTGCTCATCCTCAGGTTGCTTGTTCTCTTATAGAAAAAAATTGCCATTGTTTTTGGAGATACTACTGAGATTTTTTATCAAAAGGGTTGGCATGCATGCAGGCTTTTTCTCTTTTTGGGTGTGAGACTAAAGAGTCTGGGAATCATGTCCAGCTTGAGAGATGGGAATGAGTGAGCCATAACTTTGGAAAAGGCTGACCTGCCTGCAGGATGGGCACATGGCCCATCTGCGTCACTTGTAGGAGTCCGGGGGCATGAGAGTGTATTTTAGAGAGGAAGGTCCGCTGGCGCTAAGTAAAATCCTAGGAAAGTGAAGTGTTCTTTTGCCCATGAGACGTTGTAGGTTCCTTAGTAAATACGCATTTGTTCTACAATGAAACACTGTGTCCAAAGGCGCTGCTTGGTTGCCTGTTTTAAGGCAGGTGGTTCTTTGCAGGGACATCAGGAATCCGTGCTTTACACACCCAGGTCTGTCCTGGGGCGCCCTTGGGCTGTCAGGTCAGGTGTTGGCTAGTATTCGGGGCACATCTGAGTGGAGGTGTCACAGCGTCCCTCATGGAGCCTGCTGTCTTCGGGGGCGGCAGCCGCGCCCGCGCACAGACACATCTGTTGGTGGAGGGGCCTTTCCAAGGGCCAGAGTACCCCATGGAGAAGTTTTGTGAGAAGGCAGCCTTGTCAGACTTGCCCTCGGACTCCTTACCTGAGGGCTTTTAAGACCAGTGTAAATGCGTTCTTGGGAGCTAGTTTTCAGAAAGATATTTTGAAAAGGTCAGCGGTGAGCTTAGAACTGCCCCCCCAGCAGGCCCTTCCTGGGGCTGGCATGGCATTGCAGCTGAATATGTTGAGTTTTGTGGAAGGTCTTCTCAGGCCACAGGCCGGGCGCACGGACTCTGCAGCTCCGTGTCTCTGTTGCAGGGCTAGTTGTCGGCCTTAAGGAGTAAGTGAGGCACATACGTAGCTGTTTTATTCTCACTGTGCTTTCCCTTTGTGTTGGGAGAGCTTTTCAAAGTGCGGGATGTGGCCCACTGGTGGAAGTGAAGTAATTTAGTGGGTTGCAACGAGTACTTTTTAGAGTAAATTAGAATAAAAGAGAAAGTACCAGGACACATGGAAATGACTAGGGCAAGGATGGTTTTGCGACCCGTTTCTTAGGCGCACACACGCACACACACGCACGCACGCACACACACACACGCACACGCACACGTCTGTACACGTGGGGTGAGGTATGAGAATGTGTTTCCTGGTCAAGTTTGAAAGCCACTCTGGTAAGAGGTTTATTGCTTTTCAGCAAAAACTTTAGAAAATGTGTCCCATTCATTCGGAAATACTTTGCCCCATCTTAGTTAATTACTGGGAGGCAATGTGTAGGATTTCCTGTTAAGTTACCAGGACTTCCGTTTCCTGTATGAAGGGATTTTTTTCCCCCTGGAACTTCTTCCAGTGAGCTAGTAGAAGGCCTATATTGTGAAAATGTAAGTACTATCATTATAATTGTGATTAATTAATAAAACCACTTTTTGTTTGCTTAATTGAAGAATTTCTTTTTCAGGTTTCCTTGCTACAGAATGAAAGTGTAGAGAAAAACAAGAGCATACAAAGTCTGCACAATCAGATATGTAGCTTTGAAATTGAAATTGAGAGACAAAAGGAAATGCTCCGAAATAATGAATCCAAAATACTTCATTTACAGGTAAGAAGCTTAAGACTGTGGCTGGATCAAAGGGTAGAGGAGCATGTCTGTGTTCTCCTTCCAGACTTTCTCAGTGAGCTGTTTGAGCAAAAGCCCCGACTTTTGTCAAACAGACGACCTGTTTCTCTTGCTTAAGTGAAGACTTGAGAAAGACCCAGGCGGCTGTTTCTTCCCTGCTTTTCCCTGGAAAGCAAGCCCACTGCCTCTCTTATGTGTCTTTGATTCACTGTTGGTGAAGTAAGACTTAAAGCCTGTGTTTTAAAAAAATTAGCTGTTTTTATTATTATTTAAGATTTCATATTGTTCAAGAGTAGTTATGTGTAAAGTTTCACTTCCTGAAGTGAAGTGAAGCCAGTCTGTTTTGTTTTGGATTTTCTAGTGACACACACACTGCACTTTATCTCACCATAGTGATCCAGACGCGCCTCAAACAAGCATGCAAACCTTTGCTGTTCTGTAAGGGGCTTCATTAGATGTCGCTTCTCGTTTGTTATCTACACAGGTACCTGTTAGTGTGTGATTCCTGTAGATCTTTCCTGCACATTAGCTTCCTCGTGGTGTGCGTCTGTACACTGATTCCCACGTGTATCTCACACACCCATGGAAGAATCACTAACATGCCTCCAAAATGCCTTTGCTGTGCTTTTACTTAGGTGCGTTTCCTTAAATTATCTGGAAGATAAAAAATTATTTCCAAGAGCTCAGAGTCCCAGCGTCTTTGAGAATGCCTTTCCTCCCATTTTAACATCAGAGATTAGTCATAGTGGCTTGAATTGCATAGAGATGTATGAAATCAATTTCATTTGTGTTAAAACTTTGTGGTTGTCCAGAGACGAGGAAACACACAATGAAATAATAGACTGTGTTAGAAAAGGTACAAGTCATTGGTATTGAATCAAGCCAGAAAAAGTACATCCCATAAAACACCAGCAAGCCTCTTGCTGGCGAGTGCCCGTGAGAATGTAGTTGGGGATGCCCCACTCAGCTCTGAGCTACTAGCAACATACTGCTGGCCTGGGGCTCTGAGGGGTGCGTGGAAAGGACACAGAAATTAAAGCAATGCTAGAAAACCACCTGTTAAAAATATCAACAACCGAAGAGTTCATTTATGCATTGTCATTTATAACCAGAAAAATTAGGATCTCCATAATGAGGTCATTGGGGCGTTTGTCTGAAACCTCTGATGTCATTACATGCATCCTCCACATCCCCTTCTCCCAGGGTGAAAAATTTGAATTTAATTTTTTAAAGATTTTATTTATTTATTTATTTGACAGTGAGAGACACAGCGAGAGAGGGAACACAAGCAGGGGGAGTGGGAGAGGGAGAAGCAGGCTCCCCGCGGAGCAGGGAGCCCGATGCGGGGCTCGATCCCAGGACCCTGGGATCACGACCTGAGCCGAAGGCAGACGCTTAACGACGGAGCCACCCAGACATCCCTAATTTACTCTTTAGTAGAGTTTAATCGTTGCACCGTGTGTGATCTATATTTGAACACTTCGGTTAGGGACTAAACCGCTGAGCTCTAAGCCAGAAAGAAAGGGGGAAACCGGGTTGCCGGCGCCCAGCGCAGCAGAGGCTGAGCGGCCTCACAGTTCATGCCCCTGTTGGGTCCTAAGTAGGAGGGCAGCCACTTGCCACCGCTCTTCTCCATGGAGAGAAAAGCACGGAGGGAAACAGACTATGTGGAAAGAAAGGGACTCTGATCACACTGGACGTGCAACGCCTGATCTTGTTGAGTGCGTTGGGGGGCACACCGCTCCCCACAGCGGCTTCTGTAGGCTGAACCCGTCTGGGCGACTGTGTGACGGGAAAAGTGGCAGCTCACCTGTGCTTCACTGTGGGGCTGGCCCGACCGACGGAGTCGGGCCTCTCAGTCTTCGGGGAGCGTGGGTGGGAGGCCTCCGTGGCTGGCCCCTGGAGGCCCTGGCTGTCTGTGAGGCACGCCTGGCCCGGGGGCACTTCTCCCCGGGCCCTCAGAGCCTTGTCCACCCTGAGCCGGCTCACCTGTGCCCCTCATTATTCCTTCCTCATCCCAAACCCTTCCCGTCACCTTCCTCTCCCCTGCTCCCCAGCCCTGTGCATTGGACCACCACGGTGACAACAGACATGTTACCCTCTGTATCATCTCCTTCCTTTTCAGATCCTCTAGGAGACCCTAAAAGCCCAGAGACAGCGGCAACACATAAAGTGTAGAGTCCCTTAGGGCCCCCGCTGTACGTGGTGGACAGGGATGCAATCAGAGTTGGCCAAAGGGAGCGGAATTTAAGAGAGTATTTGCTTTTGCTGACCCAGGAAGGGCAGTTTCTTAATATTATACTTTTTAAACAACCTGTTTTTCTTCATGAAAAAAAGACCACTTTTTCTAGCATCCGCTTACTCCCCGTGTCCCTGTTGTTGGCAGAGACGAGAGGAGCTGGTCGTTCCCGCAGTCCGGAGTGCGGGCCTGAAGCCATGCGGACCACCCGGCCCCTGCGCCACCCCCCACATGGTCCCGTTGGCACAGTGTTTGGTACAGAGGTCCCAGTGACCCGAGCGGTGCAAGGGACAGGGAGAGAGACGGTAGTTGAAGCCCTCGGGTGCACTGTGCATGACACTGATGAACTGATGCTCTGGCAGCTAATCTTTTGATTAGGATTTATTTACCTCGCCGGCAGTCTGTACCGTCTCTCAGCTCCTGGGTTCTTTTTCTACACCTGCATTTAAGATCTATTTTTATAGAAAGATGACAGCAGCTGAGTGTAGAACGCTCTTGAGGAAGGAGATCATGTTTGCTGCATTCTGCAGAGAAGGTTTGATTGAGATCAGTGCTCTGCTCGACTCTGTGCCATTTATACAAAGGAGACGAGTGTTTAAAACTACCACGTTGTCCCTTGCTATGTGGGAGGGAGGGCTCCTTTTAAGTGACTTGGTGGAGCCTTGTCTGTGTGCACACATCCATGCGTGTGTGTGTGCCAGTGTGTGCATGTGTCCTGCCCCCACGCGCCAACTCTACGTCACCGAGCTGGCGCCCGGGGCCCACGGCGGTCCTCTCACACCCACACTTCTGTTCCTGAGGTCGCCACGTGCCTCCGTGCCCGTCGCCCCGTGCACAGCACTGGTCTTGGGGAGGAGGCACCTCTTTGTCACCCCCGTTTTATCTCAGGGGCATGAGGCTGCGGGGTGATGCATGGCTTGTCCCAGGCCACCGTGCAGTTCACTCGACGTGGACCAGGCCACAGAATGGAATCTCTCAGAGCCACCACTGATGACCTAGGTTTCCGTTAACCTCCCTCCTAAACGCACTAGTATCCACGTTAGCTCAGCTGGTCACTTTAGCAGGTGGAGTAGCAGATGCTCACCAGAAATCCATTATGGGTTTGGGTGTTTGGAGAGGCCAGTAGTGCTGTGCCCAGAACCCAGACTTCGCGAACTAATTAAATATGCCTCCAGACACATGGATTTAAACAAATTGACATCAGTGTGGGAAGAGGTATTCTTTACAGAAACCATTTTTCTTTTTCAATGTTAGCTAATACCAGGTTTTCTTGGAAAGAAGAGGAAGAGTAACACTGTACTTCTACCCCAAAAAAGTAACCCAAACCTACCGTGTTTGTTCCTTGGTGGTTATTAACAGCCAGCAAAGGTGCTGAAACTGAATGTTTAAAAATAGGCTTCCGAAAGGAGAAGTGAACTCAGCAGGCCCCGGGGCTCTCCCCTGTGTGGCCTGAAGCTTCAGAGGCGGCCCAGTTACTCACGGCTTCACTGGTGGCCAGACCACCCAGCCTTCATGAGCTTCACTTCAAAAAATGCAAATCCTTTTTAGAAGTGAAAACCCTGGGATGCCTGGGGGTGGCTCAGTTGGTTAAGCGTCTGCCTTCGGCTCAGGTCATGGTCCCAGGGTCCTGGGATCGAGCCCCGCATCGGGCTCCCTGCTCGGCGGGGAGCCTGCTTCTCCCTCTCCCTCTGCCGCTCCCCGCCCCCACCTCAGGTAAATGAATAAAATCTTTAAAAAGAAGTGAAAACCCTTTAGGTCCCAGCTTCATCCAACAGGTGGGCGTACCCGTCCTTAAAAACAGGCTGGAGTGTGAGTCTTAGCCTTTGCTTATTGTTATAAATGGTCTGCGTGTTTCTGCAAAAAAAGGCTTTCTGAATTACTTAGATTAAGATAGCATGAAATGCAGCCTCGCTGTCAACAGCCACATGTTTGTCAGTAGTGTTTCTGTGCTCAGCGGGCACAGGGCACTGAGCATCGTGTGGATGGGGGAAGCAAGCCCCGCTCCTAGGCATTGGCTCTTGGCTTCAGCCAGGGTCTGAAGGTGCGCCGTCGGGGCTCTTCCTGCGGCCGGCCGTGTGCGGATGCTAGGTCTCTGGAGCGGGTGGCAGGGTGGTGGCTGCTCTCTCTCAGGACCCAGCAGGGTCCTGGGGCGCTGCCTACAGCCACAGAGATAGGGCGACCCCTCCAGCCCTGGGTCAGGGAGCCTGGTAGGAGACCCATGTTGTTTGGCCCCTGGAGATGGCTTGGCCCTTTAGGAAACGGAGACCTTCCGACGGCTGATGCGTGTGGCTCCAGGGTCCTGCACCTGAGGCTCTAGGACAGAGTGGTGTGGGCCCCGTGCCCTGCAGCTGGCGGGTGAGGCTTCTCTCTGCCTTGGTCCCCTCCTCTGGGCTAGGGACCTGTGGCCCCTGCGTCCCCTGAGATGTGTTTGGGCGACCGGTGAGATGCCCATGTGGGAGCCGGCTGTCCTTCCTAACCAGCTGGTGTCTGGTGCCAGTAGCACAGGGTCTGCGGAGTTCTAACTGTGTTTTACCTTTCTGATGCCTTTAATTTGGAAGCGAGTGATAGACAGCCAGGCGGAGAAACTGAAAGAGCTGGACAAAGAGATCCGTCCCTTCCGGCAGAACTGGGAAGAGGCAGACAGCATGAAGAGCAGCGTGGAATCCCTCCAGAACCGAGTGACAGAGCTGGAGAGTGTGGACAAGAGTGCAGGACAGGCAGCGCGGAACACAGGTGGGGGCGGCGGGGGCAGGCACAGGCGCAGGGAGGTCGGGGAGGGGTCTGGAGCGGGCAGCGTGCATCCTGGTCTGTTCTGGGGAGCCTGGCCAGCCCGGCCAGGTCTGGGGGCTTGAGCTGGTGGGTGGCTGGTACATTGGGCACACACCACCTCGAGCAGTGATTTCTAGCGAGATATTGCTCGTTCAGAGGTGTGATGACTTTCCAGCCAGAGAGGCCTTTGAGAGAGAAACATCTCCCACCTAGACACACCCCCTCCGTGTGATGCCAGCATGGTAGAGAGGAGGTGTAGGGTGGACACCAGGCAGAGGGCAGGGCTTCTGGGGGGGTGGGGGGAGGTGAGGGAGAGGCCCAAGGGACAGAAGTGACAAGCAGGTGAGCACAAGACCCTGCGGTGTGCTCAGCCAGTGTGTTTCTGATATCTAGAAGCTGCTTTGGGGACTGAGTGAATATTCTGAATGTTTGCATGACAAGGATTAATGGTGCAGAAGAACTGAGGTTATGGCAACGTCCACCGCCCCCACCCCCATTGGGTTAAGCCGAGGACAGGAATGGTGAGAGGCTACGCAGGGCACAGGTGACTCTGAGCATCAGGCTGGAAGGCAGGGGCATGTGAGCAAGAAGGTGGCCTTTCCCTGCCCCCAGCGGGGCTCTGAGGGCACCCTTGGGAGAGAGGGCCCTGCGGTGATGTGCCCTGTGACACACAGGCCCTATGTCCCCCAGGTGTTGCCTCCCAGCAGGCCATGGCCGTGGGTGTGGGGGGCCATCGAGGCAGGGATCTGAGGCCTGTTTTTTCAGGAGACGTACCAGGTACTCGTCTTCTCCTCAGAAGCCCATTCCGTTTAGTGCCGGTGCTGGCAGGAATGGGCTCCTCCCACCTTCCTGACACTCACGGCCCTCCTTCACCCCGTCTCTCCTCACCCACGGCAGGCTTGCTGGAGTCCCAGCTGAGCCGGCACGACCAGATGCTGAGCGTCCATGACATCCGCCTGGCCGACATGGACCTGCGCTTCCAGGTCCTGGAGACAGCCAGCTACAATGGCGTGCTGATTTGGAAGATCCGAGATTATAAGCGGCGGAAGCAGGAAGCCGTCATGGGGAAGACCCTGTCTCTTTACAGCCAGCCTTTCTACACGGGCTATTTTGGCTATAAGATGTGTGCCAGGGTCTACCTGAACGGGGATGGCATGGGGAAGGGGACGCATTTGTCGCTGTTTTTTGTCATTATGCGCGGAGAGTACGATGCTCTGCTTCCTTGGCCGTTCAAGCAGAAAGTGACGCTCATGCTGATGGATCAGGGGTCCTCTCGGCGTCACCTGGGAGATGCGTTCAAGCCGGACCCCAACAGCAGCAGCTTCAAGAAGCCCACCGGGGAAATGAATATTGCCTCTGGCTGCCCAGTGTTTGTGGCCCAAACTGTGCTAGAAAACGGGACATATATTAAAGATGATACCATTTTTATTAAAGTCATAGTGGATACTTCGGATCTGCCGGACCCCTGACAAGTCACTGGGGAGGTGGATTGAGCAGAAGGCAACTCCTCTGGGGGGTTTGAACCGGCTGTCTCCACCGAGGTCCTCGTGCTCAGAAAAGGACCTTGTGGAAAGGAGGAAGCAGCAGAAGGTGGCCGCGGGCCGGCGGGAGGAGCCACGCGTGAGGACACACCGGACATGTTTTCTAATAGACTAGCAACACTCCACTCTGAAGAATTATTTATCCTTCGACGTGATAAATACTGCTGTCAGAGAAGGTTTTCATTTTCATTTTTAAAGATCTAGTTAATTAAGGTGGAAAACATATATGCTAAGCAAAAGAACCATGATTTTTCTTCCTTAAACTTGAACACCAAAAAAAAAAACACACACGCACACACATGTACACACATGCACACACATGTACACACACACACACACACCTGGGAATAGCTGGACATGTCAGCATGTTAAGTAAAAGAAGAATTTATGAAATAATAATGCAATTCTGATATATTCTAAAATTCAAGAGTGCAATCTTGTTTCAAATATAGTATATTGTCTATTTTTAAGGCCTCATCTGGTCTCTGTTTTAATAATTTGTTTGTCAGAAGACCCTAAAGTACAACTAGGTCTTTTTTGAAAGTCTAAATTCAGAATCATTTTTTAATTTAAAGTTCTAAGATAATTGTTATTGCAAACATTTTATTTTAAAACGTTGATAGACTGATATTTCTTGGAAGAAAATGTAAAATATCAAACACTGGTTATCACTTGTGATAGGAAAGAAACTATTCAATCTGCTGTTATTTCTCGTTAGAAATGTAAACCTTCAATATCTGTCGTAGTTAATGACACTACTTCAAAATTACTATGAAAGGGAAACTGCTCATGGATGCTGTGCATCATTTTCAGATTTATAATTGTTTTCACCCTAAAATAGGGCATTTGTTGAACTTTGGAGTTCTAAACAAAATCCTGTAGGCTTTTAAAATTCTGCCCCCTCTGTTCAGACACTCTCTCTATTGCTGACAGCTCTGACCTTCAGTGTCCAGCGCCCGGGGGTGGGCAGGTGGCTCGTGCTGGAGGAGGCCACAGCAGGTGTGTTTCTTCATTTTGTCACATTGCTGCGTTTTGTTAACAATCTCCAAAGGCAACATTGTGTAGAGGTGGTGGCATACTGTACATGTGCCTTAGACGTGACCTGCTGCTTCTCGACCCTGGCTTTGTGTTCACTGTAACTGTAGAAGGTGATAGCTTAACCTGACTTTTCTCTCGACCACTAGATCTCTGCCTCTTCAAGGGCCCTCAGACAGCCCGGTTCCTGCTGAGGAAGCCAGGCTCATCTTCAGCTTCTGGAGCCTCCAGTGCTCAATTATCACAGATTCCGAATCTCTGGGCCCCCAAAGTGAGCTGCCCAGCCCCAGCACGGGCTTGTTCCCACCCCCGGGGCAGGAGGGGGGGTAGCCACGGCACCTCTCCGGGTCTCCCCCCCGCCGGCCGCCCCCGGGTCATGGGAGTCCACCCCCCACGGAGCAGAACCCTCTGAGCATTCCAGAGACCGCCGCTCTTGGGGGGCCCGCCGCTCTTGGGGGGCCCGCCCAGGCTCGCTGACAGGGTCCCGGAACCACCGTTCTCTCAGGAAGGGTGGTCTCGGGACCGTCCCAGCCTGCGCCTGCCCAGACGGCATTTTCTCAACTCACTGTTTACCTTCTCTCAATGGTCCAACTGTGATTAGAAGCCGGAGCCCTGCCTCCCTGTGCCCCTCTGCTATGCACCATGCTCCATGGGTGCTCTTACCACTGATGGGTGCTACACGTGACGGGTGCTTCTTAGGCGAAACCAGTGTGTGTGAACCACCGCATCTGTGCCGCTCATCCAAAAGACGCGCCCACAATTGGCCAGCTGGGCCGCGCACCTCAGACTGCCTGCCTCTGGGCTTCCCCGTGGTCGTGCGGGGACGGTTGGGCTGGTGCCCGGTGGCCCGCCGTGTCTCTGGTGCTGCCATCTGCCCTGGGCGTGCCTCCGCCCCAGTGCCTGCTGGAAGTGCCCTCCTAGCGCACACCGTCCCCTTCCATAAGTGACCTCCTTGGTTCCCAGCACCTGCCACGCCCTTTCGCAGTTCAGTGCTCATATTCATCTTTTTTATTTTCTCCACCCTGCTCCCCACCCCGCCATTGCTTTGAGGGCGAGTCTGTGTCTTCGGTCCCGTCCATGAGGAGTCGTGTGTCCCTGTTCATAGACGAAGGACGTCCTGCAGGTGCTGCGGGACCCCTGTTACCTTGAAGGTGTCCCCGACATCCTCCAGACCCTGCCCTTGTTCTGTCCTGGACACCCAGTTGGGAGAGGACGCCAGGTGGTCCCTGCCCGGCTTTGGGTGGCTTTCCTGCAACTTCCTCCCCCTTCACTAAAAGTATGGACAATATTAACAAATTTGAGATAAGCAACATCTCAGTCTGGTAAAAAAAAAACAAAAAAACAAAAAAAAAAACCCAATACTTTGCCTCTCCTGGTTGGAATTCTTCTGGGGGTGGGCCACCTGGGAGCACTTCTGGAAGTCTCTGTCCCGTGGTGGGGGGACTTTCCCAGCAGCCCCTCCCAGACACGCTTCTTGTGGGAGATGACAGGCCCTTTTGGCCTCCTCCCAGGGAGCCCATAGGACGTGGCCTCACCGGCTGGCACCGTCCCCTGGGATGCGGATGGGCCACAGCGGAAGCTTCATCCTGTGGCTTGAAAATAGTTCGTGTTAACGGGGTCATACGCCTTTTGGCCACTGTGCACCTCTTCCCTCTTGTGCACTTGGGACTTTGTGGACCGTGGCCTCCTGAAGGACCTGAGCGGGTGGTGCTGCCCTGATGGACGCACCTGGTGTGGCTTCCGTCCTGACTCCTCGGTGCCCTGGTCTGGTGCTTGCCGCCCGGGGCTGGCCTCGGTCTGTGGCCCTGGAGCGGCCGGCCCTCCTGGCTTCACAGGGTCCCAGCCACAAACGAAACATGTCATGCGCAGTGTGTATTGGCTGCACTTTTCCTATTTCCTAAAAGTGACAAAATTCCCCATGGGACAAAACTGTTCTGATGCTTTAGAGAAACCAACACCGAGTCTTGTGCGGGAATTGAGCCAGTCGGCTTCCCGGTCAGCCGCATACTGGACGCGAAGACCGCTCCCCATCTCAACTTGCCTCGTGGGGTTCTCCGGACACGCGCTCTGGCCCACTCTGCGCCGACCACGGAGGCTGCCGGGGTGGGGGGCGCCCAGGCCGGGCTTGACTGTGAGAGTGGGCGCCTGCTTGGGGGTACACGGCAGGGTCGGCGGGAGGGCGGGCCTTTGCCCGAGACCCTGGGAGGCTTTGCGTGGCCCAGTGGCACCTGGCAGCTGGAATCCGCTCCCCCGGGCCTCTTCTAGAAGTTGGGTTTTCCAGTTTCCGGGGCCCGCAGGTAACACGGAGGAGACCATAGGCATTCCTGTGAGTTGTTCTGAGACCTGCTGCCGCTCTGGGAGTGATTGGCTGTGCAGGTGGACGGAGGAGGCACCGTGGGGGCCGCTGCCCCAGCCCCAGTGCACAGCCTGTTCCCAGAGCAGCGTCTGCGAGGCTGCAGGTCGAGCGAGCAGCTCTGGGCCAAGATGCGCCTTTCCTTTCCCGCCGCAATGCAGTTTTTCCTTTGCCTTGCGACCCCATGGGGCTGTGGAGCACGGGAAAGCCCGTCCTCCACGGCGGCAGCCGCCACCGGGCCCTTCACATGCCAGCCAGGTTCCAGGGGACTCTCTGGCACTGCGGATGCCCCCGCGGCTTCCCCTCGACCACTGGGGCCCACCTTGGTGAGGCAGGGTCTTCGTGTCCCTCACCACGTGTCCCAGGTGAGGCCTGCAGCTGTCATCAGCGGGCAGTGTCGTGGTCACCCACGGCAGGCCTGGCGTCCTGCGGCTGGAGGGCCACAGCCGGTAGAGGAAGGGATGTCTGGACAGACCCTTCCACACGGCAGGGTCCTGCGGTGGGCCCTTTCCCTGTCAGCCCAAGGGAGGCGGGCAGAGTGGCAGGACCCCTCTGCAGCTCACACCCTGGGGGCGCACACCTCCTCCTTACTCTGCACGACGGAGGGCCGCCACCACCGGCATCGGCTCCTGGCGTCTGCGCGGGGCCGGGCGGGAGGTCACACTCCTCCTGGTACTTCCTGCCCCAACCCCAGGCCTCCGAAGCGCGTCCCTCTGCTCTAGGTAGTCAGCAGAGCTGTAAGATACTGTTTTCTTACTTCTGGTCCGGATCTTTCTCAGACTGCGGAGGAGAGCTGGGGAGAGCTCCAGGCGCTCGTCCGCATTTGTGAGCGTCTGAGAGGTGAATGAGGGGTCTGTCACCCAGTCAGCTTCTCAGCCCAAGACCATGGTTCTGTCTTCAGTTTGCAAATCTCGACAGTTTTATTTTCTCCAAAGTAGAGCATGTCCACTGGGGTCTAAGTCAGATGAGGTCCGTTGTGGCTCCCGTGTCGTCATTACTGTCTGCCCCGGGGCGGGGCAGGCTGTCACCAGGGAGCTGGGGCCCACGGGGGAAGGGAGCGTCCCAGCGGTGTGTCCCGGGCGCAGGTGGTTAGTCCGGTCTGAGGAGGCCCCAGTGGCACCTAGCAATGCTTGCCTTTCATTTCTCCTGCTGCTGCTGTATCTGGAGTCTCTTGTGAATTCTCGCATTGAAAAAGAGGTTCAAGTCCAGGATGGCTGTACCACTCCTGCCGTTAGTGGTGATTGGTTTTTATAACTCAGTCCCCTAGTAGACAAGTCAGATAACCTTCAACAGCAAACTAAACGAGTTAATTGGTAAACACAAAAGCCGGCATTATTTCCAAGGATTTCTACAAGAATTACCTATAAAATAACATCTGTGATCAAGGAAGTGTGTGAATCCATGTAGACAGTTGTGTCAGGTTTTTAGAATTGCATTCTTTCTCTGATGGCACACCTCTTCGTTCAGTTCTATTACCCAAAAACAAAGACCAAAGAAGGCCAATCTCCCATTTGACTCTGTATTTTTAATCTGCCTGTTTTAAAAATTGCCGTCTGTAGTAACCGCTCGCTGTGAGGACCCATCTTGACACTCCAAGTGATTGTGACCAGTGATTCACGTCCTGTGTGTTTCTGCTCTTCTAAGAAAAAACAACAAAAAGACAGTATGTTATTGCTCAGCAATAATCATGTTGTTAATGTGAGTTAACAACATGTCTGATTTTCTGATAGCATTATTATGTTTTATATTTTTGTTTACTGTATATCGTGTGTGGTTTTATTTGGTATTTATTTGTGTTTTGAGGTCTTGCGATGTTTTTGTGTTTCTGATGCTAACAACTAAAGTTTGTAAGAGTGTAGAATGCAAAACTTTGAAATGCTAAACTGTCTGATTAGAGGAAAATAAATCTGACTAAGGAGTCTGGGTTTCTTTTTCCGCCGTCTCTCCTAAGCACCCGGCAATGCCCTGGCCTTTCCCTCCCGAGGGGCCTCCCCGCCTCTCCTCTCAGAAGTGGCCTTCCCAGTGGCCTGCGTGGCCACGCAGCCCCATGCTCAAAAGGGCCCACGCTTGGCTTCAGGCTCTGCCTGTCACCGTCTTAGAACTCTCGATGTTTGCAAAGGGGGTCCCACGTGCTCGGTTTGCACGAGACCCTGCCGATGATGCAGCCGTCCCTTCCTGCGGCCTCCTGGCCTCCCCTGCAGGTGGAGCGCCGACTTCCGCGCGTCCCAGAGGCTGGTGCGCCCCGCAACCATGCTCTCAATTCTGCGGCTTGGTCCGGAGCAGGCGCCGTGACCCTCGCCCTCCCACCAGGTCCATGCCCGGGCATCTGGCATGGTGGATGGGCCCCGGACCCGGGACCTGCCCGGCTCCCCACCTTCACCCGCTGTGAGGCCTTTGGGTTCTTTGAGCCTCAGTTCCTCATCTGTCAAATGGAAGAACAGCATCTATCTCCTTTCTGAAAAGTGGTGATTAAAAAGCTGTACCAGGGTGCCTGGGTGGCTCAGTCGGTGGCGTGGCTGACTCTTGATTTTGGCTCAGGTTGTGATCCTGGGGTCCTGGGATCAGTGGGGAGTCTGCTTGAGATTCTCTCT